CATGTCCTCTCCAACTCCCTCCATGTCCTCGTTAACTCCCTCCATGTATCTCCGCTTAAAAGACGACTTTCATTCAATCGGAAATATTCATTCATTCATTGTAAAGGTGAAGAGTTTCATCCGATCTGAACTGTTTCCTTCACAGCTGCAGCACATCAGGGATAAAGAACAACGTCTGAACCTGGAGCTGGACAGGTTGCGGACCCACCTGTTGGAGATCGAAGACTCCTACACTCGAGAGGCCATCGCCGCAGAGGACCGGGAAACGGAGCTGCGTCGGCGATTGGCCATGCTGGACCAGAAACTGGCCTCGTCCTCAAACGCTGTGGAGAACGCCAGGTTGGTGGAGGGCCCAAGTGCTGCGGGGTGTCAGAAAGAAAACACAAAATGGATTAATGCTCCAGCTGAAGAGGCTGGAAGACGAGGAGTGGAGCAGCTAAAATCCATTCTGCTCAAGTTGTCCCCAACAGTCTTCAGAACAATTGGTGGTCTAAAAGTGGTGAATTTATTATAATAATGACACTTTTAATAAATTTACTAATGTGTTGCTTAACAAGTGCAAGACCACCGACAGAAGAAAACATAAACTGACACAGATCATTCAAATTGATCAATTAATCATTACGACATGATGATGGAGTAGAAATATGCTCATGTCCTGTCCCCACGCTCCATTAATAATTGCTTTAAATGATCTTGATTTTGAGCCTGATTATTAAAGAATCCTGATAATGAACCTGATTATTAAATAATCCTGATTATGAGCCTGTTTATTAAATAATACTTATTATGAACCTGATTATTAAATAATACTTATTATGAGCCTGATTATTAAATACTTATTATGAACCTGATTATTAAATAATCCTCATTATTAGCCTGATTATTAAATTATCCTGATTATGAGCCTGATTATTAAATTATCCTGATTATGAGCCTGATTATTAAATTGTCCTGATTATGAGCCTGATTATTAAATTGTCCTGATTATGAGCCTGATTATTAAATTGTCCTGATTATGAGCCTGATTATTAAATAATCCTTTGTTTAATATTTATGTTCTGACCCGACATTTCGGGCTTCAGCTGACCCATGTGTGTGTTCAGCCAACAGGCCAGCATGCAGGTGGAGTCGCTGCAGGAGCAGCTGGGGGTGGCGGTGCAGCAGAGGGACAGTGCTCTGGCTCAGCTCAGGACGTCTCAGGAGCAGGTCCAGCAGTACGCCGTGTCACTGTCCAACCTGCAGATGGTTCTGGAGCAGTTCCAGCAAGGTAAGGACCTGCACTGTAGTGTCTTCAATTACTGAGCCAACAAGACGCAGCACAGTCAGTTCCACGTGTCTTGACTTTTCTCTTCAGAGGAGAAGGCCATGTACTCTGCAGAACTGGAGAAGCACAAGAAGGAGAAGGAGGAGTGGAAGAGAAAAGCTGATCTGCTTGAAGACCAGGCTTCTGCTCTGCAGGTGGACCAGGAGGAAAAGCACATCCATCATGTCTCATTCATGCAGACTGGATGTTAAATTAAACCCGTTTGTCTTCAGCTAAATCTGGATGAAGCTAATGCCGCCTTGGAGTCGGCGTCCCGTCTGAGCGATCAACTTGATCAGAAGGAGGAGCAGCTGGAGGAGCTGAAGAGACAAGGTGAGGAGTTAAATCTGATGGAAACGCGTCCTCACTTCAGCCCAGAGCTTCATGTTGAGACATGAAGCCTCGTCAGTTGAACCTTCAAAATAAATTGAGGTGTGACCTCATCAGAGGTTGTCAGTGACTCCTGGCTACTACCACCAAACCTTTGCTCAGTCTGTAAACCTGCGTTAGAGCCATCTGTGTCGTTTCCTATGGTTAATTAGTGGTGGCAGCCATCTTGAATCAGGTTAATCAGTTGTAGATTGCCTCCTGAAAGTTTCATTAAAACTAGCCCAGTTGTTTGAGATATTTTGCTGACAGACACTGTGTTCAAGTTCTCAGTGTTTCCAAGTGAAAGCTTCATAAAGTTGTATTAAAAACTATATAAATATATTTCAGAGCAGCTCCCTGCAGAATGATTAGAAGATAAAATAATCTTTAACGCTGGTCTTATCAGGCTTGACCTTCACAGCAGATGGTTGTTTTTCTTCACGGAACCTCATGAAGGACGCTTGTTTTGTCTCTAAATACAGGACTCACTGGGAGAAAGTGTCCAACTTGGGCACTACTGGACAGAACCACTCTAGTTGGTCTTTAAGTTATTCTTGGAGCCATTTTGTGCCATTCAGGCAGTTCGTGATATACGAGATTTATTAATTTGTTTTTATTTAACCTTATCCGTTGGACATTAGCACCCCTTTGAGAAAGACCTGGTCCAGATGACCCACCACGACAAAGTTACAACTTAAAAATGACCTCTAAATATCTGAGCACAAAAATAGAACGGAGTCAACATAAGAATTGCAGTTGAAAGTTTTATCAGATTTTTAAAGTCGCTCAAAGAGAAGTAAGAACCGAGTTTAGTTTGAGCTGAACATTAGAAGAGAACGCTGTTCCACCAAGATCAGAGAACCTCCTGAGGACCTGGACGAGGAGCCAACCGGGGAACGAACCGATCAAATAGTCAATCAATCAGTAGAGGAAGCTGAAAGGACCTAAATAGAAGCTAAAGGCTAAATCTGCAAAACTGTAGCTAAAAGCTCAGATGATCTTAACAATAGCTGAAAGCTAAAAGGCAAAACTAGCATGTTAGCAGATTAAATCATTAAATTAGAAAACAGAAACAGAAGATAGAGATCGGTTCAATGTTTTGAAGGAACTGGAGAGATCCTAATGGATTCCATGGGAAGTCTTATTTTAAATTTCCGGTAAGTCAAATATTTGGAAAAGTATAAAAGTAAGAACAAAAGCAACATGAAGGGACAGTACTGCAGACCGAGTCAAACACTTTGATCTATGATGGGTTAAAACAGCGCACAGTCAGGGGTCGTCTGCATAAAGCTGCGCTTCATCTTCTTCTGAATGGTTTTAATAAATCTGGAGAACAAAACGGGGCCTAAAATTCAGCCTTGGGGGACTCAAGAAAATATTTTGTACTACTTAAAGACTTCTTTCTTCCTTTTCTTTTTGTGTCTCCACAGCGAGTCGTCCTCCATCTCTGTCTGTCCTCACTCCGTCTACCTCAATGTCCTCTTTAACTGCATCCATGTATCTCCTCTGTCTTTTTCCTGACAGCTGCATTTCTAACATCCTTCTAAGAATATATTTGCTGTCCCGCCTCTGGACATGTCCAAACCACTGTCCCTCCTCTGGACATGTCCAAACCATCTTGGTCTGTCCTCTCTAACTTTATCTCCCAGTTGTTCAACCTGTGCTGTACCTCTGAAGATCTCACTCCTGATCTTCTCCATCCTTGTCTCTCCTAAGGAGAACCTCAACATCTTCATTTCTGCCACTTCCAGTTCTGTCTCCTGTCTTTTTGTCCATGTCTCTGTCTCCAGACCATACAAAATAGCTGGTCTCACCACTGTCTTGCAAACTTTTCTTTTGACCTTTACTGACACCCTTTTTTTACTGCAAGAGATACCCTGGCTTGTGTTCCCTAGTAGCAGGTTTCCCAGCCACTTAAAGACGATCTCACGTAGACGTTTATACTCCCACCACCGAGAAAGTGTTTGTCATTTTTAATCTGTTGTTTTTTCCAGCGGAGGTGAGGCAGGAGATGTTGGAGGAGGCCCAGAGGAAACTGATGCATCTTCTGAACAGCACAGAGGGGAAGATAGACAAGTAGGTTGACTCTTACCTCATTGAAGATGCTCTCAGCCTCACAGCTGTAGAAGCTGCTGAGGATCTTAGGCAAACTTCCTCAGCCTCCTCAGGAAGCATGGTTCATGCAGCAGCAGTTACTTGTTCGGGTAAATAACGTTGTTGTTGTTGTCTGCAGAGTTCTGATGCGTAACCTGTTCCTGGGTTACTTTCACACACCTAAAACCAAACAAGCTGACGTGCTCAGGCTGATGGGAAGCGTGCTGGGACTGAGCCGAGAAGACGTTGATAAGGTCAGTCCAACGTGCGTGCGAGCGTTGAAACAGCTGTCTCATTTGCAAGAGGGACGTACAAAAACAAAACTATACAACCAATAACAGACGTTGGTATAAAATCTACATCTCAGTACAAGCATAGGTAGAAAATTCAAACAAGCTAAACTGACGGAAAACTAACGATGATGGAAAACTCTGGAACAGGAGCGAGCGTTAATGGATGTGATCTCCATTTCTTCATTGAAAGTTTACATTTCTCGAGGGTCACGAGAAGGAACAGGTTCTGATCCTGCTGCTCTGTGTTGTGGAGGGTCCAGAGTCTGAGACCGCTTTCTGACCCAGCTCAGAATCCACTCGTGGCATGCTGAACGTGATAAAAGCCTGAGAGTGAAGTGCTGTTTACAAGTCATTAAACAAGACAAATGAGATGGAACCAGACAGAGACGAGATTTGTAGATAAATATGTACTAAATGTGTAACTATTAAACCAGAGAGTATAAAGTATAAAGGTTTACTGCCTGTGATCAGCAGCTCCCAGCAGAGACCTTCACATAAACAATATCTCCACAGCCTGAGCGCCAAGGAGCTCATGGCAGAAACCATCTGTTTCCAGGCACGAAATGAGAAACAGGACTGACAGAAGAATCACAGTTTTAACCTAAACTTGTTATTCTGTAACAAAGACAATAATAAAAATATAAACCCTGTGTCTTACTGCTGATCTGTTAAAGCAGCTACTGCATTGTACGACAGTAAATACGTGAATCGTCTGCGTAAAACTGCACATGAGAGCGTGACGAAGGTGAATACGATGAACTGTGAAGAGTGATGGTCCTAACACTGACCCCTGTGAGACCCCTTTGGAGGTTTCCAGGAAACTTGATGTGTGATCACCAAACTGCACACGCTGCGTACGTCCTGATAAATAATTTAAACTCTTTTATAACTCGTCTTGTTTAGCTTCAGGTTCAGCAATTCCTTTAATTTTGTTGTATTCTGAGAAGTATTTGTGTGACTCTCAGCTACTACCACACCAAATTTAGCTGAATATCTGTTAAACTGATTGAGTTTTAGCCTTTTTGTGTTGGTTAACAATAATTAGCTTAGGCAGCCATCTTGTTTTGGGTTAACTCCTAAAGTTGATCAGTTGTAGATGTACACCCACTGATTATACTCCTGGGTTTTATTAAGATTCATCCAGTCTTGGATTAGATATTTTGCTAACGGACAGAAATACACTCAGACCTGAGCAGAAACATGATCACCCTTGGTCTTCAGGTAGTAATCCTGAAATCACAGCGTTTATCTGAGTGGAAACATTCTGAATTCTTTTTGCTTTTATGCTTTTAAAATTTAAGGTATCCTCCTGTGGTTGTGTAGCTGAAGTCTGAAGGTGGTTTGATCAAGACTAGAGTAAGTTCACCACCGATGTGTTAAAATAAGTGAAGTAAATCCTGATTACAGGTCCGACTGAAAGGTTTATTTGTCTGGCTCCACTCATCCACGGGTTACTTTGACCACAAGTCTTGACTCGGTTGTTGAACTAACAGCTGATGTAAGCCTGTTCTTGTTACTCTGTCCAACTGTCCCTGAAAAGGAAAGCAGTTAGAGCCAAACCTCTGTGGTATGAGGTCTGTGGGAAGACGTCCAACAGGAGGACGGTCCAAAGTGGATTACCCAACACTCTTAAAATAAAACCTACAGGAGGAGCTCAGCTCTTTATTTCATTCTCTTTAATGTCTTTAAACTTATTGTTACAGTCCGAACACATCTGCTTACTTGGAGCCATTTCATATTTCGAAACATTCAGCTCGTTCAGGAGACTGCTCTATGACTGGATTTCTATACGTCCCTCCGAGGACGAGACTACCACAGTGTAGCGCCGTCCAACTGTCTGGACAATTACTTGTCCAATCTCTAAATAATAACTCTTTGACATAGAAGTGTCAAACTGCTCAGATGGACACTTCATGGGTCAGTGCTGAGCCCTGTTGATTTCAAGGTCAAATATCAAGGTCATAAGCTATCTAAGACTCCAGGGTAAGTTGTCCCATCTCCAGTCTTCTTATGCCTCTTTTTAGCTTTTCTTCAACTTTGAGGTTTTAGCTGCTGTTCTGCCTCTTTGTAGCTTTTAGCTGGCCTTCTGATTTGTTCAGTTTTCAGCTAGCATTTTGTTTCATTTTGGTTTTAGCTAATGTTCTGCTTCTTTTAGCTTTGACAACTCAATTTGACAACTCAATTTCAGCTCCAGTGTTCACACTACAGAAAAACATAATTATTTTTAATTTTTGCATCTTTCTTTCGTCTGCTTGTAATGTTACTTAATTTTTGCACTTGACAGAAAACAAGCCAATTCTTTAGCTGTGGTGTCAGGAACCAAGCCTTCTCCTTTAGCTGTGGTG